GAATATAGTGGTATCAACAACTCATTTTGGGGTTCTTGAACCCGAACTATCTTTTTGTTAGCATGGAACCCATATGTTAATAATAATATTTTCAAATGCACATGCATTAAAAAAGAAAATTAGATTATATAACGCCATACCATTATATTTCATTTTAATATTATGAGGGACGTATTCCGGTGGAAAACAAACGCCATTATGGACTAAGGTAGTCCATTTAGCTGGCCGAGGTTCCTCGATTCTTGATTTTTTGGTTGTTTGTCTAGTTTATTGGTTAAATGTATTAATGAAACTAGAATGACGACGAGTAGTGACGACCACCACCACCATCCTTAAACAGTTACCTGGCAAATTCTTTTTCGCTATTTCCTTTGCTTCTTTTATTAACTCCTGATGACATGTTTATTATAAAATAAAAATAAAAAAAGAAGTTTGTGATTTGATCAATGCGTACACATTAATTATTTATCCTATTGGTTTTTTTTTGGGAGGACAGACGCGAATCGTTTTTTTTTTAATTTTTCGACAGAGTTCAAGATGACAAAACGTGGGTGTTGTTGTTTGGTTTGGGTTGGGTCTCCTAAAGAAGCGTGTTAATAACTAACCAGAGGTACTATTTTTTATTTGTATTGATATTTTTATTTTAGTTTATAAATATTTTAATTGGAATCAAAACGCGGAGCAGATCATTGCTGGGTAATTACAAGATTTTCATTGATAATATTTTACTTTTCGTAATCAATAATAATAATATTATATTATTATAATTACAAGATGTCAAGGCAGCACACCATTGAAAAAGAGACAATTCAAATATGCAATGTTTAATTACAGGAAAATAGCAGGCGTTGAAGCACGCATGCTATCTTGAACACTTTACAGTCATTCTCACGTATTCCTCATGTACATAAGGCTAATCTGACTAGTGTCCCCCGATGATATGATAATGTTGAATTCCAGGGGGTGGAGAACATGCTCTGGGGTTTACCGAGACTGTATCAATTGTCAATGATTCTTTCCTAATCTTCCCTGCTGCTGCCATGTTAGCTGAAAAGTCATCTGCAACAATCCCACCTCTAGGTAAGGATGGCTCTGTGATCAAGTCACAACTCTGGAGGAATATTAAGAGAATCTGCAACTTGTTCAAGCACTAGTGTTGGTTTCCAAAATTAGAGAGTTTCACAACTGTGCGAAAGTCAAAAGGTTTCGCCATAAGTCGAAACTAGTTTTGATTTTTGACTATTGACTTTTGATTTAGTTTTGACATATAACTTTTAATTTTAGTTTTGACTTTCGCCTCTTCAAAATAGTTTTGGAAACCAACACTATCAAGCACAAGAGGTCACAATTCAGCACAGGGTTGGTGGCCCTGAAATTGCATTTGGACTCTGATGTTAAGAAGAAAGTTGTAAAATAGTGTTTGTTTTGTATAATCATTTTCATAAATTCTTTGTTTCTCTGATACTAACCAACTTATAATTTTGGGTAGGGGACTGAACTGAGTTTTTGCCCAATCAGTTCCCTGTCCTGTAGGTTAAAATTATCACATGATTATATACATCTTTGTCAGCAATATGGCCAACAAGAAAAAGTCATAAAATTGTTTGGATTTTGGTATGTTATAAATTAATCATTTTCATAAATACTCTGTTTTTCTTTAATTTTTATTTGACCAACTGAATTTGTTTATTGAATGGGGGTAAGATTGTTGGTGAGTAGGCATGCCACCAACAAGACAGAACTCAGGACTCAAAACTCTGAATTCAGGGGAAATCCAAAACAGCAACTCAGGTTGTAACCTCCAGAATTGGAGAATTTTCAATCAGGTGCAGATGCAAACTTTATTTTAGAGAGAAGCATAACACAAAGTAATCATCACACAAATGCTGGTCCTCATCAGTGATCAATGCCCATATGATGACAGCCAAGCCTGGTCTGAGGGGAAGATAAGGGAATGTTTTGTTCAAAGCCTTCCAACATGTGTGAAACCTCCCTGTGGAAAAAAAATTCCATGGTTATGAGGTGTGTGAAAGCACCGTATTGCATGTTTGTGATAGGAAAATTTAATTAAATCTGACACCTGTGATCAATATCAGATTTATTATTCATAAGGAACCATAATTGTAATCAGGAAAAATTATTTATTATTGTGAACCCCACAGATCTGGGTAGACACACATTATTAAAGCTTCATTTATGCATGGCCTTGGTATTATCATTACTTGGGTGATACAATTGTTTGTTATGTCAATTATAACTTCAAATGTATTGAATAATAATCATGACCATCATGAATATTTGATGGATGGAAGCATTCACATACAAGGAAATGAAGGAAATGATTAAATAGCTAAGTCATGTTTGTTTTATTAAAGATGTATGATTAATTGTATTTAAAATATACAATAAAAAAATTGCATGGAAACCAAGACTGCACCACTGTGTCAATCAAGCCATCAAGCTGTTATGCTTGTGCATGGTTTAAAATTCTTTTTGTGCTGATTTAGGGTCCCATCTTTCTTTGCTTATATATAATCTATTGGTTCTCTTTTTACTGGTCAAATGATGCCAACTTGGATAATGGGGTATTCAGCAAATATCATAATCTGATTATTCTTAAAAAAATAATTTTGGTATTAGCATACTGATAAGTTAATAATATTCTTAGTATTTTTATCATATAGTCTAAAAGCCTACTAGTAAATGTTGAAAGTGCTGATATTTATCAGATATTCTTTTATAATTAATCTCTATTTTTTAGTTAATTATTGCTTAATTTAATAACTCTTTTATATTGTAATTTAAATATTTTCAAAGCTTTTTGTGCTAAAATATTATCATAATCTTGAGTAGTAGTTAGGGTTTTCTATTAAATAAGGTTTATTTGAATAAAACAAATAATTTGAATAAAACCAATAAAACCAATAAAACCAATAAAACAATAAAACCAATAAAACCAATAAAACCAATAAAACAATAAAACCAATAAAACCAATAAAACCAATAAAACCAATAAAGCGAATAAAGTGAATAAAACAATAAAACGAATAAAGCGAATAAAGTGAATAAAACAATAAAACGAATAAAGCAAATAAAACAAATAAAACAAATAAAATGAATAAAACATGTAATAATAACAATAAAACAATAAAATGAACAAATGAATAAAAATAAATAAAAATGAATAAAACAAATAAAAATGAATAAAATGAGTAATAATAAAATGAATAAAACGTACATTCAGAACTCATTAAGACAATGCCTTGATAAACTAAATATACATGATAAGCCGATGTTGTTTTATTATCTACCTATCAAATTACCTCAATAAGCCAATTTTATTAAGGTTTTTAAATTGAAGTTTTGAAAATATTGCATTAATACCAAAATCAAAAACAACAATAAACAAACAAACAAATAGCTTTTATTGTGAAATAATTAATTTTGTTTCTTTATTGAATCAATCATACAAGCAGTAGTCAATTTAAACAGCATTGTTTTTAAAGAAAATAATATTATTAAATGTATAAAGTTTAACGATTCTTAATGTTGCAAGTTTTTTTGATACATCAATCTCAGTCCAAAATCAAATCATATTTAAATACTTTAAAGTTTCTTTATTTCTTTTTTTGATAAATAATAAATTTATCCTTTGTTTATTTATTTTAGTAGATTCAA